AAAGGTACCAGGGTCCCCAGCCAACATAGGGTGGGTTTCTGCGCATCGTGCAGGAGTATTTTAAGGACAGGAACACACAAGCCCCTTAAGAAGAAGCTTTCCATTAACTTAAGGCTGCAAGGGGTTCCCTTATCAATGGAGTTGGACACTGGGTCCACTCTCTCCATTATTTCTATTAACACATTCAAAAGGATATGTAGCTGCAGTGGCCTTTGAGTTAAACTCAGGCCATCCAATCTAATACTTACAGATTTTCAGAATTCTACAGTGTGTGTTAAGGGGGAGGCCACCCTTAGAGTACAGCATAAGGATTTTGAAGGTCCCCTAGATGTGGTGGTTGTTGGGGGTGAACGTACGAGTCTTATTGGACTTGATTGGTTCGAGGCTCTGGGAATCCAGGTAACTGGGCTGCACCATTTGCAAATGTTGAGCCTTGCAGAAGTCTGCAAGGAGTTTGCAGATGTGTTTAGTTCAGAGCTAGGATCCTACAAGGGGCCTCCAATTTCACTACAGTTAGACCCAACCATCACGCCCATCAGGGTTAAGCCTAGGAGTGTATCTTTTGCCCTCAAAGGCAAGATTGATGCTGAGCTGGACAAATTGCTCCAGCAGGGCATTCTAGAACCTGTGGATTCAAGTCCATGGGAAACCCCCATAGTAACACCTCTAAAGGCTAATGGGGAAATATGTATATGTGCAGACTACAAGTGGACACTGAATAAGGCGCTGCAACAGCACGCTTATCCAGTGCCTGTAGTAAGTCACACTCTGGCCTCCCTCAAGGGGCGTGCGCATTTTTGCGAAGCTTGACCTGGCACAGGCCTATCAACATCTACCTGTTGATGAGGCAGCTGCAGAGGCCCAGATTATTGTAACTCACAGGGGGGCCTTCAAGGTCAAGAGACTGCAATTTGGGATAAATGTAGTCCCTGGCATATTCCAAAGTGTCATGGAGAGCACACTTCGATGTATTCCTGGGGGTCTGTCCCTACTTTGATGATGTCCTCATGGCTGGGGAGCCATCTCAAAATTTAGCAGAGAGATTAAGGGCTGTCTTGCTTCGTTTTCATAAAGCAGGCCTTAAACTAAAGAAGGATAAATGTAAGATAGGAGTCACTTCTACTAACTTCTTAGGATTCAGGATAGATGCTCAAGGCATTCACCCTGCTGAAACTAAATTGCAAGCTATCCAGCAGGCCCCAAGCCCTAAGTCTAAGAGTGAGCTGCAAGCCTTCTTGGGGCTATTAAATTTTTACCATGCATTCCTTCCACATAAAGCTGCAGTTGCAGAGCCATTACATAGGCTCTTAGACAAGCAGGCTCCTTGGCAGGGACTAAAGTCCATGACAAGAGTTTCAATGAGGTTAAGGCCTTGCTCATGTCTAATGCTGTTTTAGCACATTTCAATGAGCAACTGCCTGTTTGCATCACATGCGATGCATCTCCTTATGGGGTGGGAGCTGTACTCAGCCATCTGAAGGCTGATGGGACACAAGTCCCTGTGGCCTATTATTCAAGAACTCTGTCTTCTGCAGAGCGAAATTATGGTCAAATTGATAGAGAAGCCTTGGCCATAGTGGCTGGCATAAAGAAATTTCATGATTTCTTATATGGCTGCCATTTCACGGTCTATACTGATCATAAGCCTCTGCTGGCTTTGTTTACCACTAACAAACAGACCTCACATATCATTTCTCCCCGTATGCTGAGATGGCCCATTTTCCTGTCAGCATATGACTATACATTAGTTCACAAACCATGAAAAGAAATGGGTCATGTCGATGGCCTGAGCAGATTAGCCCTGAATCAACTGGAGCCAGATCCTGCTCCAGCCATTAATATTCTGTCCATTCAGGAGTTGCCTGAGTCTCCCCTCAATGCTAGGGATGTGGCTACAGAAACTGCCACTGATCACACGCTTACATGCATGCTGACATGGATGTTGTCAGGATGGCCTGACAAGTGCCCAGATACTGAGTTCCAGAGCTTCTGGCTCAAGAAGCATGAGTTTTCCACTTTCAAGGGTTGCCTGTTATGGGGTAGCACGGTAGTGATCCCAGCCTCATTGAGGTCTAGAATTTTGATCTCTCTGCATGAGGGACATCCTGGTATAGTCAGGATGAAAGCGCTTGCGCGCAGCCATCTTTGGTAGCCTGGCCTCGATAAAGCCATCGAGGCTCAGGTGCACGGGTGCCAAGTGTGCCAACAGTCTCAGCCTGAAATGCCTCAGGCACCAGTACATAGGTGGGAGGAAACTCAAACCCCATGGTCTAGGGTGCATATAGATTACACTGGGCCCTTTCAGGGGCAATTCTTCCTGCTTGTTGTTGATAGCTATTCCAAGTGGCTAGAGGTTTTTCCTGTTTCCTCCACCACTACTGCCAGGATCATCCAGGTGTTGAGAGGAATTTTTGCCTCACACAGTCTTCCAGATGTTCTGGTTTCAGACAATAGCCCTCAATTTATCTCTTCTGAGTTCCAGGCTTTTTTTTTCAGGCCAATCTGATCCGGCATGCAACATCGGCTCCCTTCCACCCATCCTCCAACGGACTGGCAGAGAGAATGGTGCGCACTACCAAAGATGCCCTCAAGAAACTGACTTACAGTAACTGGCATCATAGGTTAGCAGATTTCCTTCTTGCACACCGAACCACACCATGTACTGCCACAGGGAAGAGCCCTGCTGAACTCCACTGGGGTCACTGCCTCATCACTAAACTGGACAGATTGCACCCTGACCGGGTGGCTTCACAGTGTCACAACCGCTGGCACCTAGGAGACTCCAAGTGGATGATCCAGTCTGGGCACGAAACTATGGGTCTGGTCATCTCTGGGTCACAGCTGTGGTCTGCAAGGTCTCTGGGCCACTGTCATACGAAGTTGCCTTGGGAGACGGCCACGTTCTTTGCAGACACATAGACCAACTGTGTTGGAGACTGGACTCTCACCCTTCCGCTCCTGGCTCTGCTCTGGGGGGGAGGGGAGGAGGACCATAACATGCATTCTGAGGCTCAGTTTCACAGACCTAACAGGCCATCACTAGCCACTACTGAGGCTAATTGGGATTCATCCCAAGGTTCCGCAAGTGCTTCTAACAGGAATTCACAGGATAGGGGGTCATCCCACACATCCATAATCACTCCAGACAGGGAGTCACACCGGGGGTATCCACAGTGTTCATATATGTCAGATAGTGCTCCAGATAGGGAGACTGACCGAGGGTATCCACACAAATCACAAGCAGCAAGAGAAAAAGAATTTAAGCAGGGGCACTTGACAAATTCTGCAATTGCTCCCAAAAGGAGGTCACCAGCAAAGGGTGTTGCCATGGAGGCAATTCCTGACTCTGGCACCTTGGGCACGTGCTTGGGAGCCATAGAGTACTGGGGCACTTCTGCTACTCAGCACTCTCCATCTGCTGGCCTTGGGTTCGAGGAAAAGTGTTCCCAAGAAGGGTCTATTGTGGACCCGGGGACTTCCACCCTTCCAAGGTATGCTGGCTTGGACTTAGAGGGTCCAGCCAGCCAACAGATGAGCGGGTCAACCGAATATTTTGGGCAGCAAAGTCCTGGCCTGCCTAGCCTGGTAGGCTAGCAGGTGGGCCAGGCAATCTCTCCTGGCCTTAGAAGGTCGCAGCAGGCCAAGTGCCCACCCAAACATCTTAGAGAATTTGTGAAGTTGCTGTCAAGTCACAAGGGTTCTGTTCATGAGGCCCCTGAATAACGGTAGATTATTTTGTATTATTTTTTGATTTCGGATACATTTATTGCATGAACAAAGTTGAAGGGGTTTTGCCTGAGGGCAGACTCGAGTATTCCACATTCCTTGCATTGATTAATGAAACTATATAACATCCTTTCAATGTATGACATACATGTGTGTGCGCAGGTAAGTTCCATCTAGGGGGGAGGGGTGTTGTGTCCTGAGCCTGCAAAAGCAGGCTCGGGACATTGCATTGGTCCCGGGCATTCCAAAAGCTGCCCGGGACCAGACTGAGTGGCGCCGGCCTTGTGCGCATGCGCAAGGTGTGAAAATACTCTGTTATTTTGTTTGCCATTGTCTGGGTCTCTGGACACATAAAGAGGCCTGCGCGCCTTTTGCCGTTGTTCGGTTGTTGTTGTAAGAGGAATAAAGAGCTGTTTAACTTCTCCATGTGTATTCATCATTCGCACACGAACGAAGTACTTAACAGTAATCGTTATAATTTATCAAACTTGATAAATTGAGGTTTTGCCTGATGCCATCATGAAATTCCATTGTCTTCATAGAACCAACACCAGACAAAGTAGCAGTTTACCCCAAATTGGTAAGCAGGATTTTAAAGGTGTGTTTTCCTAGAATAATAGCTATAGATTCCTTCCTTTTTACAACAAAATCTCCCGGGGTAGAATTTTGTTCTGAATCTGCCTGTTATGCAACATCATTTTGCTAAAGAATTTTAAAAAAGGACATCATCTTTCTTATCATTGTTGCTTCTTTAAAGTGATACTTCATTACTGGTTATTAAAAATTATATAGGTGTCATTGAATTTATATCCCTACCCTGTTGCAACAATCCATTAGCTGAAATAAAAGCAATTAATTGTATAGGTAAAATTCTTGAAGAATAATTAATTTCTGTTTTACTAACCAAAATGAACAAAACATAATCCTTCAGCATATTAAAAAACCCTATGGTTATTGCCAAAACATTCATATATCAAATGGGTAAGAAATAATTTGCAATTCTGTCTTGATGGTCCATAGCCATATGGTGACCCTTGTGTACCAATCTGAGTGATCAGCATGGGGAACTTCAATCCAGAGACACAGAGCACAATGATAGTTTCCACACTGCCATGTTTGTTTTCATTTAGTGTTCTTTTTAAATGCATACCTGTTACACAAACATCTGTGAGAAGATTGCAATTTAGGGTTTTGCATGAAGCAGCCACTGAGTGATCCTTGAAAGAAAATCCAGAACTAGACACAAGACGTAATCTAGACCACCTGTGGATATATTTTATTACAAAAAGCAACAAAATGTTTATGGCACATAAAATGAAGCAGCAATAATTGAGTCAAAATGTCACAGAAGACAGACCAGACCAAATCTTGGTTGAAATGATTTGTTTTTAACATGAAGATTTAAAATCACAGTCTTGCTCTTTATGAGCATATTAGAATTCCAGTTTGGAATTTATGTCTCATCATTCTTATTATATCTGAGATTTTTAAAATAGCACACACAGAAACACAAACTATTAATATACATATATATTCCTCTATATTTCTATATGTTAATGTAGCTCAGTGTTTGGTATAAAAAAGGAATGCAATTGTTTTTCCAGAAGTTTTTTGAAGGCAACCTTTACATCCTGGGTCCTCAGACTGTAGATCAAGGGATTGATCATCGGAGTCACTACTACATACAACACAGAAGCTATTTGATTAGTGTAATGAGACTTGCCAGGTTGTGCATAAACAAACGCAAGACCCCCGTAGAAAATGGTGATGACCATGAGGTGCGATGTACATGTGGAGAAGGCTTTCCTCCGAGCCTTGGCAGAGTGCATCTTTAAAATGGTGATCAGGACATAAGTGTAGGATGTGAGAATAGCCAGGATTGTTGCCATTAAAGTGAAGCCAATAAATACTAATTTCAACAGATTATTTAAACTGATATCTGAACAGGCGAGTTGTAATAGTGCAGGACCCTCACAGTAAAAATTCTTAATGATGTTTGGTCCACAGAAAAACAACAGAGATGCAGGAATGATATGCACTAAGGAATGTAGGAGCCCAGTAATGTAGGAAATGATTACTAGTTGAACACATTTTATTTGGGACATGGTGACCAGATAAAGTAGAGGGTGACAAATGGCTACATAGCGGTCATACGCCATGATAGCTAGGAGGAAACACTCTGCAGTGGAAACTACACCATAAAAGTAAATTTGAGTAAAACAACCAGCATAAGAAATACTTTTCTTCTCTTTTAAAAGATCGCATAGGAATTTTGGAGTGATAGCTGATGAACAGCAGATATCCACAAATGATAAGTGAGTGAGGAAAAAGTACATTGGTGTGTGGAGTTGAGGACTGATCCTGATTAAAACAATCATGCCCACATTCCCCAACAAGGTGATAGCATAAAGAATAAAAAGTATCACAAAGAGGATGAGTTGCAACTGTGGATCATCAGTCAGTCCTCTGAGTATGAATCCTGTCACATGTGAGCCGTTTCCCATTGAATCATAGAAACACTGTGGAAACTGAAAGAATGCAGTAATCAGAATCATATAATATCTGACCAATGGAAAGACGCAAACAAGAACTAGATATTCAGGATGATAAATGAGTTATGATTTCAATCAAAATAAAATTGAACCTGATTAAAATTAATATTAAGAATCAACACCCAGTGTGGATGCAGGAGAGAGTTGAATAAAACATCCACATGGGGTATTCTTCATTCTATAAGTGTCCAAAGATACAAATAATCGAAACTGACATGGTGAAAGAACACATGGATCCAGAATGAAAAGTCACCTTCATATGGTGTGAAAATAATATTATTATTTTTTCTTCCTTATTATTATTAAAGGACAAAAAACCTTAGGTACTAAAAGATGGGAAACTAGTTTGTGATCTTAAATTATATTAGTGAAGAAAAACTAAAGATTTGGTCCTGGGAAAAGAAAATCAAATGGTTAAAGTTTGGAAAGAGAAATCTTCATGTAATTATATTTCTATGCCTTAGATAGCTGAAAAATAATGAAAAAAAAATCCACTTCCTAATCATCCCTGAATGTAGAATATAGCACAATGGTTTATCAGTAATTTATATTAGAATTATGTTTATAAAGAAACTTTCTCCATCTTTAATACAGAATTGTTTTAAAATTCTCACCCTATTTTGATAAAACCCCAAAGACTCCAGACAGCCTGAACTTACCTATTTATTCTGATCTGAAAGGTATTACAATACAGTAAAACAGTCCTTCTTTTCTGGTTATAAGTGGGTTTCTTCTATATGAAATGAGTTAGGAAATTCTTTGCATCTGGGAAGAAATGCAGCCATCTTCCAGATCCAGGCTCCAGGTCTGCTTAATTTAGTCACAGCCTTTCATCAGCTGCCTTTTGGTCTGTGCAAGAGATCTTATTTCTATTGGGAAAAATTTGCTATTCTCTAAGTAGTTCTGATTTTAAATAAATGGTTTCTATTAATTTCCATTAAAAGAAATGGGAACTGCATTACAACTTTACAGTGTTTAATTACTAAGTCTCCTTTAAAATTTTAACTTAACTTTTGAGAAGTTGAAATTATTAAGTCCTTGAATCAATGGCGAAAGGAGAGCACACATTCTGATGGTAACAACAGCTTTATTCTCCTTCAGCTCACTCCGACACAACTCAGAGGCTTTCAAGTTATCCACAAAGCGGATAACTCATGCTTTTTGAGCCAGAAACTTTGGAACTCAGTACCTGGACAACTCTCAGGCCATCCAGATAAAACTCATGAAAGCACACGAGCAAGCGTTAGATCTGTGGCTGATTCTGCAGCCACATCCCTGGCATTTAGGGGAGACTCAGGCAATGCCTGAATGGAGAGAATATTGATGGCAGGAGCAGGGTCAGCTTCTACCAGCTGCAGAGGTAATCTACTTAGGCCATCAACGTGGCCCATTTCCTTACCCGTTTTGTGAATCAATGAAAAATCATAGGCTGACAAAAAAAAAATAGACCATCTCGGCATTCTGGGAGAGATAATATGGGGAGTTTGTTTGTTAGTGGTAAACAACCCCAGCAGAGGCTTATGGTCAGTGAAGACCGTGAAATGTCTGCCATATAAAAAATCATGGAATTTTTTAATTCCAGCTACAATGGCCAAGGCTTCTCTGTTTATCTGAGCGTAATTTCGCTCAGCAGAGGATAAAGTTCTGGAGTAATATGCAACAGGAACCTGAGTTCCATCAGCTCTCAAATGGCTAAGTACAACCCCCACTCCATAAGGGGAAGCATCACAAGCAATGCAGACAGGTAAGTTTTCATTGAAATGTGCAAGCACATCATTGGATATAAGCAAGACCTTGACCTCATTGAAGCTTTTTTCGTGTACCTGGGACCATTGCCAAACTGCCTGCTTGTCTAAAAGCCTATGAAGTGGTTCTGCTACATCAGCCTTGTTAGGTAGGAAAGCGTTGTAAAAATTCCAGAGAACTAGGACGGCTTGTAGCTCAGCTTTAGACTTAGGCCTAGGGGCCTGCTGTATGGCTTTTAATTTAGAATCAGCAGGGTGAATGCCCCTGGCATCTATTCTGAATCCCAGAAAATCTGTAGAAGTGACTCCTATCTTACATTTATCTTTTTTGAGTTTTAGGCCTGTTCTCCTGAAACGAAGCAAAACAGCCCTCAACCTCTCAGCTAAATTCTGAGTAGATTCTCCAGCAATAAGGACATCATCAAAATAGGGGCAAACTCCAGGAATATCCCTCAGTGTGTTCTCCATAACACTTTGGAATATTCCATGAGCTACATTTACTCCAAATTGTAGTCTCTTGACTTTGAATGCCCCTCTATGAGTCACAATAGTCTGTGCTTCAGCAGCAGCTTCATCAACAGGTAATTGTTATGCCTGTGCCAGATCTAACTTTGCAAAAACACGCCCCCCTTTGAGGGAAGCCAAAATATGGCTGACTACAGGTACAGGATACGCATGCTGTTGCAATGTCTTGTTTAATGTGCATTTGTAGTCTACACAGATGCGAATGTCCCCATTAGCCTTGAGAGGCGTAACTATGGGGGTTTCCCATGGACTTGAATCAACAGGTTCTAAAATACCTTGCTGGATCAATTTATCCAGTTCAGCATCAATTTTCCCCTTAAGTGCAAAGGGTACTCTCCTTGCTTTAACTCTAATGGGTGTGACAGTAGGGTCAAGTTTCAAGGAAACTGGAGGCCCTTTGTAAGACCCAAGTTGTGGACTAAATACATCTGCAAACTCTTTGCAGACCTCTGCTAGGCCTAACATTTGCAAATTGTGTAGCCCTGTAACTTGGATTCCCAAGGCCTCAAACCAATCGAATCCAATAAAACTCGTTCGTTCACCCCCAACAACCAATACATCTAATGGACCTTCAAAATCCTTGTGCTGTACTGTAAGGGTGGCCTCCCCCTTTACACACACCTTGGAATTTTGAAAGTCTGTTAAGATTATATTGGATGGCCTAAGTTTTGCTTGTTACAGATCTTCTTTTGCTTGTTACAGATCTTCCTAAATGTGTGAATGGAAATGATTGAAAGAGCAGACCCAGTGTCCAGTTCCATAACCAATAGAACTCCTTGCAACCTCACCTTAAGTGACAGTTTCTTTTTAAGTGGTTTGTGTGTGCCTGTTCTACAAATACTTCTGTGAGATTCACAGAAACCCACCCTGTTTTGGCTGGGGACCCTGGTACCTTTGAGACGCAATTCTTCTCGAGGTTGTGCCTTCTGGTGGCCCAGACAAACAGATGCTATGTTGCTTTGCCTGCCACACACTCTACAGATTGCAGAACGGAACCTGCAGTTGACCCTCTTATGGTGACCTCCGCACCCGAAGCATTTGGACGCAGCTGAGCTTTTTCTTTGCCTTCCTTCTGTTTTCCTTCCTTGAATAGGTAGAGATGATCCACCTCATCTTCAGGATCTTCCTCCGAGCCTTCTTGGACTCCCTCATGATGCATGGATGCTGCTTCTGGATTGTTCCTGATGGGCTGCATGTTCTTGACCGCCCCACCTGCTGCCTCCTCCACTGTGACCTCTCTCAAGGCATCTTGGAATGAAATATCTTCCTTTGCAAAGAGTCTCTGTTTCAAGTCTCTGTTTCTCAAACCGCATATAAAACGGTCTCTCAGCCTTTCTTCTAAATCTTTAAAGTCACAGGGCTTGGCTGCTCTTCGCAAAGCTGCAATGAACTCTTTGGCTGATTCACCTGCTCTCTGATCCCTCTGTTCAAATGTGTGCCTCCACGCAATGACAGATAACTTTGGTTGAAAATGTTCCTTCAATAACTTCTTTAAGTCTGTATACGTGACAGACTCTAGAGGAGCAGGGGCTGCCAAATTTTCTGCAATTTCAAATGCATATTGGCCACAGACACACAGCAAAGACACGGCCTTCAAGCCATCTTCTCTAACTTGATTCACTCTAAAGTAATTTTCTACTCTAGCGACATAAGGCTCCCATCTTTCTGGGTGAGTAACATTGAATTCGGACAACTGGCCTATCTTCGCCATCCTTACTTCTAGGAAGGGGTCTATCAGCCAGCTTACCTCCAGTGATGCTGTACTGGCAGGCCAGATGCTGAGTTTAACGCCGTCTTCCTTTCTTCAAGGACTCCTTGGGTAAGTTTTACAAGTCTTCTTTTTTCAGCTTGCAAGTAATCCCACCTTCGTCGCCAGTATTAAGTTCTTGACTCAATGGTGAAAGAAGAGCACACATTCTGATGGTAACAACAGCTTTATTCTCCTTCAGCTCACTCCGATACATTTCAGAGGCTCGCAGGCCTCTCTGCCTCTAAATAGAATCCACGGGCAAAAAGGTAACAAAGAATGGCGCACTTTCGCGCCTTGTGCATGCACGCAGGCTGGCACCACTCAGTCTGGTCCCAGGCAGCTTGCAACAGCCTGGGACCATTGCAAAGTCCCGAGCCTGCTTTTGCAGCCTCAGGACACAACAGAAATACATTTGAAATAATAAATATGACTTTCAAGGGTGTGCGAATGATGAGCTACAATTTTCCTTATATGACATAACTATTTCATCCAAGGTGTTATTAATAATTATATATTCAGTATTTATTTGTATTTGTGTCTTGAATATACCATGTATTAATTGTGAACTGTTATATGAAAGTATGAATGGTCATATATTAATGATGTAGTAACCTGAGACTGACTCAAGGCAGTCCATTGATGAAGAGGTTTTTGGGGAGAACTGGGGTGTTGACAGATATCATTTCCTACAGCATGTGGAATTAGTTGCCTCTAACCAAAGCCACAAAATATGGAAACTTCACTGATCTGGGAAGTTCACTGCACTCTCATTGCCCCGAGTAGAGTCTGGTCTACTAGGCTCACAGAGATGCTGGGCAGGCCGGCCTACCGGACCTCTGTCAGCCAGATAGGACAAGTTAACCTGGTGTCTGATAGACTGAGCAGGGACCAGTCTACCGGACCTCTGATGCCTCGCTTGGAGAGACTGGTCTACCATTTCTCAGTCACCTTACTGACCTACTGGACTTCGAACAGCTTTGACTGGAGCCGGGCTTCTGCACTTCCAGTGTCCAGAGCTGAGACTGCTCTGCCCAACCTGAAGCATGTTGCCAGTCTTCTGGGCTCCCCAAGGTGTTGAGTAACTAATGCCAGAACAGCCTGCTCTTGGAATGATTTCCTGTGATGCAGCAGCCAAATCAAGGCAAAGATGCTCCTGGCCATGGCCTCCATTTTGGAGCAGGATCCTTGAAAACCCAAGAGTAGAACCTGCTCCTTTTTCAGTAGTATAATCCAATTCAGAAGTCTTTTGAACCCTCTTGGAAGACTTCATCTCCCTGCTCTTGGAGCGCCAGATTCTGCAACACTCAAAATGCACCCAAGATGCTGCCTGGTCTCATAATGAAGCAGCTGCAAGCAAGAACCAAGCTGACAGTGCACAGAGCATTCCACAATCCAAAACACAGCCCACTAGATTTCTGACACAGGAACCTCACCCCCCCATTTTTTTTATCTGATTAGGTTTTGATAACAGAGGCCAATCACTGCTGCCCTTTCTCCAATTAACCATGGTGGTGTATGATCTTATTGTGGGTTCATAAATTTAATTCCACTGACAAGAACCTTCCTAGGTAGAATTTTGTTCTGAATCCTCCTGCTGGGTGTAGGGAGGGGAGGCAGGAGGGAGGGAGGAAGGAAAGAGGAGAAAAAGAAAGCTACGAAACATTGTTTTGTTCAAGAAAGAAAAGAGCAAAGCCTTTGTTTTAATTTTTATCGTTTTATTATCGTTTTAGCCTCTGTATTAAAAAGTACATAGGCATCATTGAATTTATATTCCTATCCTGTTGCAAAAGTATATTAGCTGAAATAAAAGACAAGTATGGATACATTTCTATAATAATAATTAAATTTTACTCTGGTAACCAGAGTTATAAGCAAAAATATGAAATGGGTAAGAAATACTTTGTGATTGGTCCATGACTTTGCTACTAACCCTCATGTGCAAATCTGAGTGACCAGAGTGGAATTTCAATGAAGAGACACAGAGCACACAGACCCAAAGTGAGGATTGACAGAGCTTGCCTATTTATGGCTCGAAATATCAGCTCCACTTTTCACATAGCTGACATCAATTCACCAGCTTTTTAACTAAATCTATTCAAAATTATTTAATGTAGGCTTCATTTATAAATCATTTAACCGTCTTGTGTTTTTCTGGTCCCCAAAACTGAATTAAAAGATCAGTGAACTATACAACTGCAGAAGGGAAAAGGATTATAATAATGTGTGTGTATGTCCTGAGTTTGAAAATGGAGTGATGGTCAGGAAATTAGATACTCTCTCTAAGAGCTTCTGAGTCTGTTGATTCCCTACTCAGAAAATAATAAAAAGAGGCAAGCTGGGAATGGGGAAGAGAATTGACGCAGGAGAAGATATAAATCCAATGTGTTCCTGCCCCCTTAATCTACTGTTGAAGTACCATGTTGTGTTAACACTGGTGCTGAAAAAGAGTTGGGGTTGTAATTAGATGGAAACAATTCTTTTGCCATACTTGGACTATGCAGTAAGACATTAGATAAGTCAGAGCTCTCTGAATAATGTTAAGATTATCCAGGCTAGCTAAAGGATATTTAATGTATAGGATTGTTCTATGCAAGAACAGCTTATTTGAAAAAGAAAAGAAAAACAGAAAAATGAAAAGAAAAAAAGAAAATAAAAGAAAAGGCAATTAATGTAGAAGGAATAAATCCTACAGGAAAATGTTGTAATTTTTTTTCCTGAGTATAAATCTATACGTTAATGCAGCATAAACTATACTAATATTTTCAGGGCAATAAAGTACAAGCATATGTTTTTCATTCATATTTACTTAAGATATCTTCCACTTCATTGCTTTCTTTTTCAGAGCTTTCTTTACTTCCTCATTCCTGAGACTATAGATGAGAGGATTTATCATTGGGATCACAACCGTATAGAAGACAGATACAACTTTGTCTCTCTTCAAAGCATAGCTGGAACTTGGGCGTGAGTAGATGAAGAGGATGGAGCCATAATACAAAGTGACAGCTGTTAAGTGAGAGGCACAAGTTGAGAAGGCCTTCAGTCTCCCTTCAGTAGAACGTATCTTCAAGATGGCTGCCAGGATGAGGACATATGAGGCAAGAATAAGTGCCAGGGGTATAATTACATTAGAGACAAGAATGAAGAACAGCACTGATTGGTAGCTCTCAGGCACATTACAAGAAAGTTTGACTAATGGAGGTAGATCACAGAAGAAGTCATCAATTATGTTTCCATTACAAAAGCTCAAAGTGAAGGTTTTGATAGTTATTATTGTAGCATTGATGAAACCACTGAGATATGAGAGTGTCACCAGTCCTGTGCATAACTTTCTGGACATATGAGTGGCATACAGCAGTGGGTTTGTAATGGCCATGTATCGGTCATAGGCCATGGCTGCAAGAAGATAGCATTCACTGTAGGCAAGACCAGCAGAGAAGAAGAACTGAGTAGCACAACCTCCAAACGAAATGCGCTTGTCTTCAGAGATGCTATTTCCCAGGATCTTAGGGGAATAGACAGAGGAATACCAGAGATCCAGGAAAGATAAGTTTCCAATGAAAAAATACATAGGTGAATGGAGATTGGGGCTGCTACAGATAAGTGCCATTAGTGTGATGTTCCCTGTGAGGCTAGCTATATATATTAATATAAATATTACAAACAGAATCAGTTGCAGGTTTGGATTGGCTGTGAATCCCAAAAGGATAAAATTCATCACTGTAGTGTGATTTTCTTTCTCCATGAAATATTAGGATTAACTGTTAAGAAAAAATGCTGCCATTATTTCATCAGGTTAGGTTAAATTCTCGATATTTTAACATGCAGATTGCAAAAAATAAAAATTTCCCTTAAAAACTCACACAACAATTTTAGAAACAAATACACCTATGTTTGATTATGTCCTAACAATAAAATGAATATTTGGATAAGGAAACGGAAACCATCAGTTTCTTCTCTTTCTGCTTAGTGGAACTTAATGTCTTCACCACAACTAGTACATTTTTTTCTTTTCAGGATTTGGACATTTCAGTAGTAAGAACTTTGGGGGTGAGTGAACATGTCATACTAGAATTCACCATAATGCAGAGAATTCACCATAATGCAGGCACAGGCAACTGAACAAAGTCAAATGACTGTTTTAGACTTTAGGAGAACTGACTTCCACAAACAAAAACAATACATCAGAGAGAAAGGGAGGGGAGGAGGGAGAGAGAGACTCCAGATGAGATCAGCATGGTTACACAAAATGCTCTCTCACAAACTGAGGGACAAAAAGGATGAGTATAAAAATGAGAAGAGGGGCATTAGCCCAGATCTGCAAGATTGGAGTCAGGAAAGCTAAGGCATAGAAGTAAGGCAACAAATGCCAAAAATAACAAAATATGTAAAGAAAAAGAAGAAAATCAAGAAAATGTTCAATCCATTAAGGAAAGAAGATAGCAAGAAGGTAACGGGCAGTAGGGAGAAAGCAGAATTGCTTAATTCCTTCTTTGCACCTGTCTTTATACAAAAATAGTCCAACCTATCAAAAGCAGCACTGTGGAAGACAGAACAGAAATGCAGGTCAACTGCCTCAACTTCTGCAAGTCCAGTATATCAGAAGTCAATTACCACAATGCTACAGCAGGAAAAAATGGATGTCCAGCAAAAAGATACCCAAGCAATTTTGCAAGCAATCGCAACCCAGACGGCAACCTCGACGAAAAATCATGAAAAGTTGAAAAATGATCTTGACAAAATGAATCAAAAAATTACTAATATAGATTCCCAAATTGAAAAGTTTAACCAGATGATTACAGACAATCAGCAAAGAATTCAAAAAATGGAAGAGAAATCAGTTGAAGTTTATCAGAAATTAGAAACCTTAAAAGATGAAAATGAAAAATTGGCCCAAATAAATGGAGAATTGGAAGATTTGTCGGCAGTCATAGAAATGGAGCAGGCCTCATATTTTTTAAGATTCCAAAATATAATAGAAGACAAGTAAGAGGATCTTTTGGATCTGATAATGGAGTTACTTGCAGATGTTTTAGGAATGGGGAAGACCCAAATGGAAGAAGAATTGGATCAGATCTATAGAGTCAATTCAAACTATGCTAGAAGAAATAAAGTGCCCAGGGAAGTCCATGTTAGATTTCTTAAAAGATCCATAAGAGATGAGATTCTGAGAAAAGTAAGAGATCAACCATTAAAATACAAAGAGAAAGAAGTAGTAGTTCTCAAACAAATTTCTAGATGAATAAGAGAGACCCGAAGAGATTATCAGTTCTTAACCAGGAAATTGGCTAAAAAAGGAGTGAATTTTAGATAGTTGATTCCAGAAGGGATCTTAATCTACTGGGACACGAAAAGATACAGATTGGACACACCACTTAAAGCAATGGAATTCTTTGACAAGCACAGAGCATTCTTGGGAAAAGGTGATCCTGAACCTAAGAAGCAAGAAAAAACAGTAGCTGAAGGAGCAGCTAAACAAACAGAGAATAAAGTGTTTCAGTCCCATTCTTTAGTATATTATTATCTTTCCTATATAAATGTCTAAAGTACTCCTTCCAGTCTTCACTCACTTCTATTTCACCAAAATCATTGTATAATTTTGTATGAAAATTGTATGACTGTATGAAAATTGCATGACTGTATGAAAATTGTATGACTATATGAAAATCATTGTATTTTATATTCTTTTGATTGTAGGTAGAATCATTTAATCTTCTTTAACCCCTCCTCCATTTAAATGTCATGAAATTAATTCTGCATTTTCTCTGTCTTTTTGATCTTAGCCATTACTTGCTCACTTTAAATACATTCTTTGCAATTATCTTTTTGAAAACAAAAGAATACTTTTCTTTTATGCCCATTTCTTGTGGCAAGCATTCTGATTTGTTCCTAGGTCTCGGATGGTCCACTTTTTCTTTATTCTCTTCATTCCCTGCTATACATCCATTCATGTCACCCAGCAGAATAATTTTTCCCTGGACTGCATTTATTAAGAAGATTGTACAACTTCCACAAATCTCACTTTTGGTTTTCCAATTACTACCATTTATTGGAGCAAAATATGTAACTGGTGTCAACCTGTGGATTTCCATAGTCTTACACACTAGATGACACAAATTCATATATTCTGACATAAATTTTAGTTCTTTCATTTATACTTAAATGCATAATTCCACTTCTATCCATGTGAATTTCAATTCTATTGCACAATATAAGTCTACTCTCCCTCACATACATCATATCCTTTTTCTTTCTCTTAATTTCATAGACTTATAAAATATCTATTTTCTTTTTTTAATTTTATTTGTTAAATCATAGCATTTAACATTCACTCCTCTTACAAACCTGTAGTCATATAAGGAAGTGTAAAGATAGATTGTTTCTCCTTCTTTCTTCTCTGTTTAGACTCAAGCTGGATCTATTTGGAGACTAGTCTCTTCATCAAGACCAGTTTTGACTTTTGATGGTACTTCTGATATGTTACAACAATTTGCTTGTAAGTTCTGGAATTATATACATTCAGAACAACAAATTCTCTTGCTTCCTGAACCCAGAACTAATTTATCAAATGAAGTTCAGGAAAAAAATTCTACATGGACCCAATTATATTAAAAATGCTGTTTGGAAAATGCTGAGTGATATTTATTTAGAAGTTCATATTGTCTCACAAGAATACCATCTAAGGGACCTCTTTAATTGGAGATAACTTCAAAGCTATGCTGTGATTAAAGTTAACTATTATATGAACAGACAAATAAATAACAAATAACTTTTTTATTGATGTGAAAATAGACTTGAGTATCCATTCCCTAAACCCATTCTCTACTAGATATTTCTTTTTGTACTTTTATATTTTTTTTCCATTTGTAATTTTATCTGTTCTCTTTATAAATTTCATTAAATGATCTAATTTCTTGCCATTTTTTCCTGTAAACTCTTACTCATTTGATGTAAGACCTTTAAACATTCCTAAGTATAGTAACATTTTCTCTAATGTTTCTAAATTTTAATGTGATGGTCTCCTTTAGAATGTCTATTGGCTAACAGAGCTTTATTTTTGGTAGACTTTGATTCATCAACACACATACTCACACAATTTATGTATGTTTTATAAATTTATCTTGGTAAAATAATCTAAAAAGAAAATCAGAATAACTAGGGTAAATCTTAATGATGATGATGATGACGATGATGATAAAGTTGGAAGGGACCTTGGAGGTCATCTAGTCCAACCCCCTGCTCAGGCAGGAAACCCTATATCATTTCGGACAAATGGCTGTCCAGTTTCTTCTTAAAAACTTCCAGTGTTGGAGCATTCACCGCTTCTGGAGGCAGGTTCTTCCACTGGTTAATTGTTCTAACTGTCAGGAAGTTTCTCCTTAGTTCTAGGTTGATTCTCTCCTTGCTTAGTTTCCTCCCGTTGCTTCTTGTCCTGCTTTCAGGCTTGACTCCCTCTTCTTTGTGGCAGCCCCTGAGATATTGGAACACTGCTATCATGTCCCCCCTCGTTCTTCTCTTCGTTAAACTAGAGATACCCAATTCCAGCAACGTTCCTTATATGTTTTAGCCTCCAGTCCCCTAATCATCTTTGTTGCTCTTCTCTGTACTCTTCCTAGAGTCTTAACATCTTTTTTACATCGTGGTGACCAAAACTGGATGCAGTATTCCAAGTGTGGCCTTACCAAGGCATTGTAAAGTGGTATTAATACTTCACGTGATCTTGATTCTATCTCTCTGGTAATGCAGCCTTGCACTGTGTTGGCTCTTTTGACAGCTGCAGCACACTGGTGGCTCATATTTAAATGACTGTCCACTAGGACTCAGAGATCCCTCTTACAGTTACTACTATTGAGGAAGGTACCTCCTATACTATCCTGTACATTTAGTTTTTCTTGCCTAAATGTAGAACCTTACTTTTTTCACCATTGAATTTCATTTTGTTAGATAGCGCCCAGTGTTCAAGTCTGTCCAGATGCTCCTGTATCCTAAGCCTGTCTTCTGGAGTGTTGACTATTCCTGCCAGCTTGGTGTCGTATGCAAATTTGATGAGTTCCCCATCTATCCCCTCATCCAGATCATTGATGAAGATGTTGAAGAGCACTGGGCCCAGAACAGAGCCCTGGGGCACCCCACTACACACTTCCCTCCATGTAGATGCAGTTCCATTGAGGACCACATGCTGAGTACAGCCGGTCAACCAGCTACGGATCCATTTGGTGGTGATGCTGTCTAACCCGCATTTTTCTATCTTATCAAGTAGTAGGTTGTGATCTACTTTATCAAATACCTTACTGAAGTCCAAGTAAATTATATCCACAGCATTCCTCTGGTCCACTAATTTTGTCTCTTGGTCAAAGAATGCAATAAGATTTATCAGGCATGATCTGTTTTTGACAAACCCATGTTGGCTTTTAGTAATGACTTTGTTTGCTGTAGGTATTTGCTGATTCGTTGTTTGATTATCTTTTCCAGGTATTGAGGTCAGGCTGATAGGTCTGTTAATTTCCAGGGTCCTTTTTTCCTCTTTTTTGAAGATGGGAACTACATCAGCTCTTTTCCAGTCCTCTGGTAATTCCCCAGTGCTCCAGGATCTTTGAAAAATATAGTTCAGTGGTTCTGAGATCACATCTGCCAGTTCCTTGAGAACCTTGGGGTGTAATCCATCTTGTCCTGGTGATTTGAACTGTCTAGGCTGGACAGGTGTTCACTTACCATTTTCTTGCCTATCTTAACTTGTATTTCTATTTTGTTTTTATGGGACTATTTTTGATAGGTTGGTCTGTTTTTTCCCTTTGTGTAAAGACAAATGCAAAAAACGAGTTAAATAGTTCTGCTTTCTCCCTGTTGCTTGTCACCTTCTTGCCACTTTCACCCACTAATGGACCAATCATTTCCTTCACTTTTTTCTTGTCTTTTACATGTTGAAAGAAGCTTTTTTTGTTATTTTTGACTTTGGTTGCAAACCTTAGTTCATTTTGAGCCTTAGCTTTCCTCACTTCATCTTTGCAGGCTCGGGCTATTTGCTGATATTCTGACTTAGTTATGTGTCCCTCTTTCCACTTTCTATACTTGTCCTTTTTATCTTTCAATTGATCAGAGAGTTTTTTATGCAGCCACACTGGTTTCTTTTGAGAGCTGTTATTTTTCCTCTTTGTTGGTATTGTGCTAGACTGGGCCTTTATTATCTCACTTTTCAAAATTTCCCAAGCCTCTTGAGTTGTTTTCCCTGGAGGATTCTCATCCATGGAATCCTTCCCAAACTCTCTCTAAGTTTATTGAAATTAGCTCTCTTGAAGTCCAAGACTCTAGTTTGACTGTGTTCTATTGCTTGTGCTTCCATAATGTTGAATTCCAATATTGCATGATCACTTCCTCCCAAGGTTCCTATGGCTTCAACACCTTCTATCATTTCATCTCTGTTAGTGAGAACTAGGTCCAAAATGGCTAATCCCCTAGTTCTCTTCTCTACTTTTTTATAGCTATGGCATCCTTTTCATGTCCACAAACTTGTATGTAATGCAGTGATTGATTATTGCATAAGATTTCATATTTATAAAATATACATTCAAAAATGTAATGCTATTCCTCAGACATCAATTTTATTTATTTATTATTTATTTGATTTTTATTCCACCTTTACTATTGTTTACAAATAACTCAAAGCAGTGAACATATCTAATAACCTGTGATCATTAATTGCTTTGGTGAGGTTCCCATGAAAAGAGTAATTAGAGATGTGTGAATCTGAGCCAAATTTCTAAATGGATTTTAAAAATTGAATGGATCCAATCTGGACTTTCTGTTCAGAAAAAGTATGTAGGTGCAAAAGCTTTAAAATCTAAAACATGTGTTACTGTACAATGAGATGCAGAACAGCTTGTAATGACATGTCCTGTAAAAATGGCTAGTGGGGTGTCCTCATGCCACAGCAAATAGAACATGAAGATTAACCTCAATACATGATCTTCCTTCATTCTGAGAGTCAACTGAACACCAGGATAACACATTTTATGAGATAGGATATGCCTGGAGTTGAACCTAGATCAACCATTGATTAGTAACTTCTATTTCCTTACTATCAACATCTTGTTGTCAAGGGCTGATGATGTTCTGTTATCAGTAAGAGTACTGCCCTAGTTTGAAAGCAGATGTAGGCTTGTGTCTCCGCAGTATAAGCAGGGTTGGAAAGCTGATCTGATCTGTTTCATACTCAGCTGTGGTTTAGTTGAAGCCATGGCAAAGTTAAGCCATGGATAAGGCTTTGCTTCTTTGTGTGGACCGGTTGTGGTACCGGTCCACGGACCAGGGGTTGGGGACCCCTGCTGTATATAATTGTAATTAACTATATATTAATTTCAGTGGGAGGTAAGCATAACTAACTTTTCCTTAATATTGTACTTGGGTGCCAAGTGACAATGTAAATCACTATTTACTAGCCTTGAAACAATTGTTTTCATACGCCCCCCTCCCCATTTAACATTAAAATGAAAGTAGAATAAATTTGTTGTTTTTCAAAGGTAAAGCATTTGGAAATCAGTTGCTATTAATTCTTATTTGGAGTTTGTTGTTTTGACTGGAGTGAAATAAACATATTTACCAGCAAAAATGACAGGATATAGGTTTATTGTTTTAAGTCTAATATTATTCTTAGAAACCACAGTATGAAGCCAAATTTTCTTACATCAAAATCTTGATTATCATGGTGAAAACCTCCCTATCATTTGCTTTTCAACTATAAAACTGTAGATTCCTAATATGGAACCTTACATGCAACAAGCACCATGACATTTTTAATTTAGCATGTTATAACTGAGAGATAGTTATTTATGGGATAAAACTTTCTTGCTGATAACTCTTCTAAATGCTTCCTTCACATCTCTGTTTCTTAGGCTATAAATCAAGGGATTCAGCATAGGGATGACAACAGTGTAGAACACAGAGGCCCACTTATCCTGATCTAATGAGTAGCTGGATGGTGGCCGCAGATACATAAACATCACTGTCCCATAAAAGAGGGTGACCCCAGTGAGGTGAGAAGCACAGGTAGAGAAGGCTTTGAGCCTGCCTTCAGCTGAGCGGATTCTCAAGATGGCAGCAAAGATGAAGATGTAAGAAATGAGGATGATGAGGATGGTGCTAAATTCGATGAATCCACAAAGGCTGAAGAGGAGGATCTCACTGACATAAGTGTCAGAGCAAGACAATGCCAGGAGTGGAGGAATCTCACAGAAGAAATGATTGATGACATTGGAACCACAGTAATCTAAGCTGAAAGTCAGACTAGTGTGGGATGCCAAGCTTATAAGACCTATTATGTAGGAACCAACCACCAACACCAAACAGACTTGTTTTGACATGATTGTGCTATAATGGAGAGGACGACAAATGGCCACATAGCGGTCATAAGCCATGGCTGCCAAGACATAACACTCAGCATCCACAAAGCCCACAAAAAAGGCAAATTGTGTTGCACAGCTGGAGAAGGAGATGACTTTATGTTGTCGCAAGAAGTCAGCCAGCATACGTGGGGCAATGGCTGTTGAATAACCAAGGTCCACCAAAGAAAGGTGGCAAAGGAAAAAATACATGGGGCTGTGGAGCTGTTCATCAAGCAGAATCACGAGAATCATGCCTACATTTCCTATCACATTTGCCAGATAAATGGTCAGGAACACCACAAAGAGGACAATTTCTAGGTAAGGATTATCTGTGAACCCCAAGAAAATGAACTCTGTCACCTGTGTGTGGTTGTCTCCAGCCATCTTCATGGAGGGAGAGGAAGAGGTGATGAGATGAGATTCTGAGGTGAAATAAAAAACCCAGCTCAGGAAAAGAAAAAAATTATTATAGACTCAAGAAAATAAAAATAGAGCAAGAAGCTTTTGCGATGCTAAGCAGAGATGCCAATAACCTTCATCTCAGTCCCCTTCACTTCTTTCTGTTGATGGCATCTTCAGAAGCAGCACAACTTGACTCATTCTATGGTACTGTATCAAGAAAAGAAAGCAGTTCTTTATTCCATAAAAATGGCAGAATTATTTAAAATTAAAAAAGAATTTAACAATTAAGCATTTGCAAGATTTAGCTTTCTTGTTATGGAAGTGAAACTTTCAGTGAAAGCAAATATAAATAGTTATTTTGTACAGTTTAAACTAGACTTTTCCAATTTAGAGCCTCTATACATATGGGAGTACAATTATTAGCCTTCTCAGGCCGTGTGATCAAACAGAAAGCATATATCCTATGTAGCAATACCAATAGAACTTAAGACTTATATTCCGCTTCACAGTGCCTATAATGCATGGAGATTCTGTATGCACAGAAATTCCTCTAATGTATATAGCTGCTAAATTACTAATTTGCTCTTAGTTTAGCTTAACTTATCTTACAAGTCTTTTCTGCAATGTCCCAAATTCCATGGTTTTCTTTTGCTTTTGAAAAACCTAAGCAGAATTTATCAGCAGAGTTGTAAATTTTTTGAAGGCTGACAGCTGGGGTAAGGTTGGACTTACTTTTTAAAATGGAGTGAAGGGCAGTACATTTCTTGGCTTTCTCTTCTTTTAGCAGCAAAATTGCCTTAGGGCTCGCAACATCATGAATCTCTCTCCTTTGCAGCACTTTCTAGGGGTGACCAAGTAGTATTTTTGGCAGTGTGCAAGTTATGTTTCCTGTTTAAAGAAAGCTAAAGCCAAACAATCCTTGGTCACTTGTGTATATATATCCAGAGGTAACTCTTCAAACTATCAAGGATAACATCTGTCTTTCAAAGAAGGCAGTAAAATTATTTGATTTCTATCCGCTAGTTCTGAACTAGCCAAAGGAAAGGACTGAAGGAAATTCAATAGCAATTTCATCTAGCCCTCAGTGACAGAATGTAGTACCAAAAAGAAGTTTTGACCTAGAGCAGGGATGTCAAACTGCTAGTCCACAGGCTGGCTGCATCATGTAACCCCCATCCCAGCTCCGACATGTCATGTGACACAGCGAGTTTGACACCTGTGACTTAGAGCAGTGGTTCTTAACCTTTTTGAACAAATTGCCCTCTTGAGCCAATGAGGAAGTTGTCATCCCCCCCTCCCCCAATATAACCTCTCAATCACAATATAGGAAATAATTCTTCAATTTATGCAAACACCTTTTTTGTTTTCTTTAAAATTATCATCAGGACATATCGATGCAAATAATTATTTCTATCTTTTTCCCATACCTTAACTGTGTGGAAAACTTTGGTGGCACCCATCACTTTATTCCCAAACTTTGTGATACATGTATTTCATTATCTTATTTATTCAAGACACTTAAATGTAATGACCACTGAAAACAAAATTCAATTGCAAGAAAGTGAAATGCCCAAAAAGAAAAACAGTAACATTTAATGATTGAATTACAAGTGAAATTTAAGACGCAAAAAGAAATATAAAAAGGCCATAAGAACAAACAGCAATGCAGGAACTAAGAATTTCAAGACGAAAACTCTGAAACTAAATTAAGATTCGAGGAAAGTATATATAGTCACACACACTCTAAAAAGGATTAAAAAGACACAAAGAAAATATGATATCGAACTGGAGTGCACACTAAAAAAGTACAATACAAAGAGACACACAAAATGTTTTACAAAGCACAACAAAAATTTGAAAACGAAGCCAAAAACTCAAAATGGAATGTGAAATCCAATGCAAGCAAATACAATGATAAAAGTTCAGACAGTTATTAATGAAAAAAAATGTATGTACACAAAAAGCAAAAAAAAAAAAAAGAACATCAATGGCTGCATTGTGCTTGGTGAGCTGATGCCAATTTCTTGAACCATTTTTGTTAATCACAATCTTAAATCACCATGCTCAGAGATCTTCAACATGTTCTTTGACTTAGAAAGGATCTGTTGGGTGGCGCTGAAGCCCCTCTCCACTAAGTAAGTGGAAGGAAAGGCTAAAAGAAGCAACTTAACTTCCTCCCACAATATTGGGTAAGTGTTCCTCATTTTCACCCAAAAAGCTTCATAGCTGTAACTCTGAAAATGTGACTGGGTTTCAAAGTCATATTTTAGACCTGTCAGTGGCTCTTGCAGTTTGGAATGAAGTTGTGCAAAGTCTGCTGTGAAAGGATTTAGCACCCAACTGGGCACTTCCAGATTTATCAGATCATAGAATCTGGTTTCCATATCTTCTTTTAGTTGCTTCAGGTGGCAGCAAAAAATGTCCAAATCTTCTCCTTGGAGTTCACGTTCATTACCAAGGTTTGGGAACTGATACAGCTCTTGGTGACTCATATTGCTTGCAAGGAGGTCCAATTTGGAAATAAATGAGCAGATTACTCCCTTGGCCTTAAGAAAATTGATTTTATCTCCTTTCAGCTTTACGTTCACTTCATTCAGCTTGTCAAAAACATCAGCGAGATTAGCTACACCCAGACATCGAAGTTTAAGAGAACTGCTTAGACTTGAGTCAATGGATTCAAGGAATTCGACAACTGTGTCAAAAAGTTCGTGGAATCGCCGCAAACACTTTCCTTTTGAAAGCCACTTTACTTTGGTGTGCAAAAGGAGACATTCAAACTCCTCATCATTTTCTTCACAAAGCTTGTGAAAAAGTCGGTTGTTCAAGGCATTCAACTTACTTTTATTCAGAGCATTAATGACATAATGTAGAGACTCGTGCAAACGGCCACTCAAATTTTTTGAGACAAGGTGCTGTCTATGAACGACACAATGGATAGTCATAACTCCAGGTACAACCAATTTTAGATGAGCTTGAAATCCGCGATATCATCCAACCATGGATGCAGCTCCATCGGTTGCACATGCCACGACGTTTGTCAAAGGGATGTTTTTCTCATTAAAAAACTCTTCAACCTTTCTAAATATCGAAGAACCTTTTGTGTCGTTGGCTAAATTTCTAACAAATAACAGTTCTTTACCGATCTCTTCATTTCTGTTCATGAAATGGACATAAGCCAATAACAAGGCTTCATTTTCACGAATTGTTGACTCGTCAATCTGCATCATGAATTCTGTATTTTTCAAGGTGTCAGTAAGCCTTTCTTCCACATCAGCAGCCATTTCATCAATTATTTTTGATACGATGTCATTGCTCAAAGGAATCGATTGCGTGATAGTGCTTCCGCCGGGCCTCAACATGGTGGCAACAATCTGTTTCACTGCTGGTAAAAATCAGCGTTTCTCCAATAATGTGAGGTTTGCCACATTTTGCTATCAACAAAGATACATCATAGAAACAAATGGGCCCCTTGTTGGCGTTGAGTGACGATTTTCCAAATAACTTCCCAACAGTGCTGCGACCCTCAAACTTGGCCTTTAAGGATTGGAAAAACGATGCTGGTTTGTTGGCTTTATCTGAATGAATTCTTATCAAATGGTCTTTCAGTCGGGAAGGCTTCATCGATTCATTTGTGAGAAAATGTTTTCTCACAAAGAAGACAAAATGGAAGCTGTACGTTGGAAGGAGATGGAATGAATCCCAATTTTAGGTATTCCATCGAATATTAGTGACACTTCCTCTTCTCGGCCATGTTGAGAGGTCTTTGAAATGAAAGGCACTACCTGCAAATTAAATTTTCGACTGCATTGGAACACTAGAAAAACACACATGGATGTCGATAAACCTAGTTTCAACAGTTATGTTGACATTACAGCTGACGTCACAGGGGACAGTCACTCAGTATGCAATGTTTCAAAAGAAGCGCTCCCCCCTCCATCACTGCCCATTCTGGCCAACGGCGCACCACTGTATGGGTAGAGGCTCCTGCAGAACATGCATGAAGTTAAGCGATGCGTATTTACATATGTACGGCATTCTGTACTGAAGCTAGCTGGAGGAACATTTGAAAACACAATTCAATCCACTAATAGCGAGTGATCTGACGTTTTTGTATGACAGATATACAGCGATTCACTGTACCAAAAAATCTCAAAAGTGTTTCCAAAACTTCTCACTCCATCGTCCCCATATCGCCCCCCTTTCGTTCCTTTGCCCCTGCATTGCCCCTTTTTGTTCCATCACCCCCCTGAAAAATGAAATCGTCCCCTGGGGGGCAGTATCGCCCAGGTTAAGAACCACTGACATAGAGTATTGTGGCCACAGAATTTAAGATTGAGGAAGTAGATTCAAAAATTACTTTCTGCATTAGGCACAATTGATTGGGAATATACAGGGTAGGTAGTCCCTTTTTGCTCATAATATATGAGATGAATCATGGCAGTGGGCTTCTAACTAAATAACTGTGAATGACATTTCCTTCTCCTTTCTTTTCCTAAACTAGAAGTTTTCTGTGTTGTGAATGTGTCACTTAAAGGTCTACAAATATAATCAGGGTTGGGGAAGGGAGAGAGCAAGAGAGAACTCTCTATCAACACTTTTCTATTGGTTGCCTTCCCAATGTGCTGGGTTCACAGTTCTCATCAAAATCTGAGAGATGCAGGTCTGACTCCAATATTTTTGGAAGATATCAGACAGGAACATCTGGTCCATATTGTCCAAGTGGCATTCATTTCTTCCTGACATTTCTTCCTCTTCTGAGCTAATCTTATTTTGGAGAATCTTTTTATCTTCCTTGTGAGATCTACAAGAATGGAACAGACCATTGGATTTTTTTCCCTGTTATAACCTGGACCATTGTAATCATTCAAATATTCTAGTACTACTTCCAGCCTGGCATTTCTGCTGATGCAAATATTCTGTGTTAAAACAAAACACTGAAATATTAGCTTTGCATGGAAAAAAGGATGCAAGGACTGTGTGAATGCCCTAATGACAAGCATATGAAACACTGAGGCATTTCAATTACACTACTTTTGCTACTTTGTAGCATTTTAGAAGTTGTTCATATAGCTGCTGCTTACCCTTCTTAGCAACAGTTATTATTCAGGAGATGTTTGATTATCATTCAAGACTAGTTTGACATCTCAGCATATCTATCTATCTATCTATCTATCTATCTATCTATCTATCTATCTATCTATCTATCTATCTATCTATCTATCTATCTAATTTCTTGGCTTTCATCAAGAAGAGCCTTCTCATTGCATCATTTCTTATATTGTCTCAAAATTTAGATTTCCCGAGCCTCACTTTCTCTAAAAACTATATCCTACCTGGAAATTATGGTAGGAATCTTCATGCTTTACTGTGGATTAGTCAGAGGATGCTCAGAGAAGACGGTCAAAGAGGATGCTTAGAAGATGTTAGCCCATCCTTTGTTGTTTTCATGTGCTTCAATTATTCAGACACATAAATTGGAGGTATTTATTTTCCTGTCTCAGAGCCCCAGACATCTGACACAAGTATTGCTCACAGGAAGCCATTAAAAACTAATTACTCAAAGGACTTCTACTTTTGCCAAGTTAATTAAAGAGATTCACTTTCTCTTGAAATTTTGTCCCAGTAAAAATATTGCTAGATGGACATAAAAAAGTCATTTGCAACTGACAATATTCCACCAAATTATCCAAATCAATACCCAATACAATGCACAATCTTTCTTAGAAGATGCTGTCAGGACTATTCATATGTCTACATATATAATACATCTATATAACAACTTATATCAATTTGTTATGGAGACAATTAAATTTAACCAAACAAGAATAAATGTTTTTATCAATACCATATGAATGGTATTTTATTAATGACATTCACGTTTAGATTATTTTCTTGATGTCTTGATCCAGGACTGATTTATTTGAAAAATAGTATATTGACTTCACCATAATTCCTGATCATGTTCCAATAATAATATCATTGCTTTGAGACATGGACATTAATTTTAGAAAGAAATGGTTTTTGTAGACATAATTGTTAATGATGCTTGATTATCAATCAAGGAAAATGGTATTGATTTTTTAAAAACAAACAGAGAACTGACCAATTGTAAGAGCAAAGACACTACTGTAAGATAGAACTCTTCAAGGAAACTGGGAATCTCAAGCAAGGTCACTGGGAAAGATGGAAGCTTATCTCTTCTCACCCTGAACCTGCTCAAGAGCAGCATTTCTCCACTGTGTTTTGCTGCAAAGGAGCATTCCTTTGTTTTCTACTATCCACTGAAAAACTGATCAGTTAGCACACGGGAAAAAAATGGGTGAGTTTTCTGTTGAGTTCCTCAGAATTCACCAATTTTCAAACCTCTGTTTAAGTTGTGAAGCTTTTTATTGCTATCTATTATTTAAAGCCAAGGCTAGAATACTGGGCAGAAGTTCACTTCAAAGAAAGAATTATCTTTATCTGGAGAAGATCAAGAATTTGGATTATTTTGTGATGGTTCACTTGTTATAGCATGAAATACCTACATTCAGAAGGTTGTAGGAACCTTCCCTTTTTAAAATGCTCTGTTTCAAAGATGTTTAAAGAGAGAGAAACCCATCCATGTTTTTCTAATCTATCCTCTAGGGAAGGTTTGAAGCCAAAGTACAAACATATTTTGGTTTACACAAAGGTTTTACATGACTGATAATCCTAACTGTGTCTGAAAATATAATTCCAGAAAAGTCTTTATACATACATTTGTACTTCTTTTAGGTATATATGGGTATTCTTTACTTAAGAGGTAGTGTAGTAGGATAGACATGCTGTTATATTTCTTGAATGAATAACTATAATTTTTACCAACTGGTGGTGATTTTGTGTTCCTTTTCAGAGATGATGAACTCATGAAAGAGCTTTTGTAAACAAGCAGGTTAGACCTGGCCTAAAGCACTGACTGCTTTTAGCTAATGTGTGGTCTAAGGTCACCTATGATTATGTAAATAGACACTATTAATACTTAGTCTGGTTCTGAGTTTTTGCCAAATGGCATATGACCTAGTAATAGTAATAGTAGTAAAGTTGGAAGGGACCTTGGAGGTCATCTAGTCCAACCCCCTGCTCAGTCAGGAAACCCTACACCATTTCGGACAAATGGCTGTCCAGTCTCTTCTTAAAAACTTCCAGTGTTGGAGCATTTACTGCTTCTGGAGGCAGGCTGTTCCACTGATTAATTGTTCTCACTGTCAGGAAGTTTCTCCTTAGTTCTAGGTTGCTTCTCTCATTGATTAGTTTCCACCCGTTGCTTCTTGTCCTGCCTTCAGGTGCTTTGGAGAATAGCTTAATTCCCTCTTCTTTATGGCAGCCCCTGAGATATTGGAACACTGCTATCATGTCCCCCCTTGTCCTTCTCTTCGTTAAACTAGACATACCCAATTCTAGCAACCGTTCCTTATATGTTTTAGCCTCCAGTCCACTAATCATCTTTGTTGCTCTTCTCTGTACTCTTTCTAGAGTTTCAACATCTTTTTTACATCGTGATGACCAAAACTGGATGCAGTATTCCAAGTGTGGCCTTACCAAGGCATTGAAGAGTGGTATTAATACTTCACGTGATCTTGATTCTATCCCTCTGTTAATGCAGTGCTAGGCTGCATTAACAGAGGGATAGAATCAAGATCACGTGAAGTATTAATACCACTCTTCAATGCCTTGGTAAGGCCACACTTGGAATACTGCATCCAGTTTTGGTCACCACGATGTAAAAAAGATGTTGAGACTCTAGATGTTGAGACTGGATTAGGGGACCTCTGAGACTATTTCCTACTTCCTTTATTTGGTGTTTCATTCTAGGCCTGAATTTGACACTCATCAAATCAATTATAATTTCCTCTCAGATAAGCTAATCCATTTTGTACTCTATCATAATCCATCAGCATTTAGCCACAAAACATCATAAGCAACCACATTGGGGGGAGGGGGATTATAAATAGTATTGTATGGATTTTTATCAAGTGTCTCTTCCCTTTTAAAGGGAAGGTGGTTAGAATTAATTAAAATGTTTAGATAACTAATATCAACACCAGTGAAAGAAATTTATTGGTAGCAATTGGGAAGGAGAAAAGGCCTTTCATGCTGGGGGCCTTCCCATTGACAGCTGGTTGCCATCCTGAATTTTGTATTGATAAAAGTAGGGCTTTTCTACTGTTCTTAAAGTAATTGAGGACATAATCAATATGAGTATGTTGACTCACTCCCAATGTCATGGACTGCCTGTTGCGAATGTATTGGTTTGCTTAATTCTCATAGTGGTGTATATATTTAGAGATAGCTGAAAGCCCTTTATGAAGCAGCCACATGATCCCAGAAAAAGCAATAGCTGCATTAACAATTCAAAAAGAGGTACTTAATATAATACTTTCAGATATTGTGAAGCCGTTGTTTGAAGGATTTGCCCTATGGTCATGGTGAGTATTCATTCATGGCTAAAAAGAGGCTATCTGAGCAGAACCGTATTCTTGATTATTTCCTTTCCCTAAGTATGGTAGGTCTGATGCAATGTTCTCTACTATTCAAAAAAATCCCTTGAGGAGGAAAGGGGTAGAATATTCTTTATACCAACTTCCTTCTGTAAGCATTCACCCACCCTTTTATTCCCGTACTTCATTTCTGCACCATTAGCTCCAACTGTCAGGGACAAGCAAATACATTATATGAAGAGATTGATTTAGATGTTCATGGGAAGAAAGAAAAACAATATCTTCTCTAACATCCAGTTCTTCTCAGCAATTGGGTACATATAGCCATAATGCAGTTTAGTTGGTTTGTACTTAATAAATTAGAAAAATCAACATTTATTTATTTAGCAAATTTATATAGCCACCCAACTCGGGGCAGTATACAACATTAAAAATCCAAGGTTAAAAACCCACAATTTATCCTCACCCCCGCCCTCACACCACATGATGGTGCCAACAAAAACAAGCTACTTGATTGGCTTTGAATGGGATCTCCAGACCCATTGATAAAACCATGGCTTCAAGGCCTTGTGAAAAAGCTTTATGACCTAGTGTAATAGTTGAACTTAGTTAATATGTTGAAAGCTTATTAATTTAATAATGCAGTGATGAAAAATTGTATAAAGGATATTTGCCTTCTTAATAATATCTTGATAGTATTTTACTTCTATTTTAGCCACCGTCTTATTGCTTCTCTTGCATTAAAAGTTGAAACATTGTTTGGAATATGCCAGAGAGGAGAGTCATATTTGATCCAAGCTCTTATGAGAAGCTAACATTATGGGACAATTTAACCCTGAAGATTGTTGGCAAATCATTTTTGTAGAGTTTATGGGAAACAATGTATTACAGGTAGTCCTCGACTTATAATAGTTCATTTAATGACCGAAGTTACAACAGCACTGAAAAAAGTGACTTATGAACATTTTTCACACTTATGTCTGCTACAGCATCCCAATGGTCACATGATTTACATTCAGATGCTTGACAACTGGTTCATATTTGGTTGCAATGTCCCAGGGTCATGTGGTCACCTTTTGCGACCGTCTGATCAGTAGCAAAGTCAATGGGGAAGCCAGATTCACTTAACAACCGTGTTACTAATTTAACAACTGCAGTCATTCACTTAAAAAATGTGACAAGAAAAATCATAAAATGGGGCAAAACTCACTTAATAAATGTCTCACTTAGAAACATAAATTTTGGGCTCAGTTGTGGTTGTAAATCGAGGACTACCTGTACTGGAATAAATTGTAAATTTTGTTTCTTTAGATATTCATCTATTTCCTCTAGTCCCACCCTTTCTCTGCTCCTTCAGGGAGATCTAGTTTTCCATGAATTCTTTTCCTTGAGTTTATCCTCAGAAGATGTAAAGCAATGATTATGATTCAATTTTCGTATACTGGAGATCATTAGATGGGAAGGGGCTGTAATTCGTAAGCTATGGACCTGTTTTGTGTTCGCTTAATAAGGTAGCCAATTGGATAGGGAAATGACATAAAAATCAAGTATGTGAATGACTTGTTAAATTATATTTTGAAAATTTGGAGTTGATGAAAGCATGAAGAACTTTGGATATATAGGCATAAGTAGCAGCTAAGAAGGTTGCTTTACTCCAGTAGAAAGTCCACACTGTACCTGAGCTAAAATCTTGGATGGAAAACATGTCTATAAATTTTACATATTTTGACTTTATAATAATATTATGGGCTGTCTGATCAATATGATTCCAAGACTTAACTTGGTATTATAGATATTATCAAATTGTTATTATTAAAGAATTCTATAATATTTAATGATTATTTGAAAATCATTCCCTTTAATGCTTCTTTATTATTTTCAAGTTTATTTTGTTTTGCCTTTTACCTTAACATTATTACTAAGTGTGATAGTTGCTTTTTATCATTATCCATTAATGAGCAATTTTACAAAAGAGTCAAAATGAAACCAATGACAC